TTCTAGATAGCTAATAATAAATAATAATTCTTAGCCAATCAAATGAGTTATACTTGTAGTATCAATATTTTGAACAAAAGTCATCTCTTTTAGCCATCTAGAATTGTGCTATACAGTGTAAGAAATACATTTACTATGACATTTACTCAGCCATTTTGCAAATTCTATCCAATTTTATGTTATAACCTAATGTTTTTGGGTATTGATGCTATATATCTATATCCTTAAGCTTAGTATAAGAGACAGAACTATAGTTACAAGAGAAGATGATATGATATAAATGTCACTACGAAATGGTCACATTGTGAATTCTCATATGTCGCGTAATGGCAGACTTAGAGGCCGCAGAATAGCTACACTGGTCACACTTGTAGGGTTTTTCTCCTGTATGTGTTCTCATATGTCGGGATAAGTTGCCCTTTTGAGTAGCCCTGTACCCACACTCCCCACACATGTAGGGTTTCTCACCAGTGTGTTTTGCTAGATGTTGGTACAATGTTGCTTTCTGTGCAGCAGAATAGTCACACTGGTCACACTTGTAGGGTTTTTCTCCTGTGTGAATTCTCATGTGATCAGATAAGTGAGACTTGTGAGCTGCCCTGTATCCACACTCCTCACACATGTAGGGTTTCTCACCAGTGTGTTTTGCCAGATGATAGTCCAAGGATGATTTCCGTGCAGCAGAATAGTCACACTGGTCACACTTGAAGGGTTTTTCTCCTGTATGAATTCTCAAATGTTGGGATAAGACATGTTTGTGAGCTGCCCTGTATCCACACTCCTCACACATGTAGGGTTTCTCACCAGTGTGTTTTTCTAAATGATAGTCCAAGTGGGATTTCCGTGCTGTAGAATAGCTACACTGGTCACACTTATAGGGTTTTTCTCCTGTGTGGGTTCTCATGTGTTGGGTTAAGTTCGTGCTCACAGCTGTCCTGTATCCACACTTCTCACACATGTAGGATTTCTCACCAGTGTGATTTGCCAAATGAGTGTCCAAGTGGGATTTCTGTGCAGCAGAATAGTCACACTGGTCACACTTGTAGGGTTTTTCTCCAGTATGGGTTCTCATATGTTGGGATAAGTTCGGATCTCACAGCTGTCCTGTACCCACACTCCCCACACATGTAAGATTTCTCACCAGTGTGTTTTGCCAGATGATAGTCCAAGGTAGGATTTCCGTGCAGCAGAATAGTCGCACTGGTCACACTTGAAGGGTTTTTCTCCTGTATGGATTCGCATATGTCGGGATAAGTGAGACTTTTGAGTTGCCCTGTACCCACACTCCCCACACATGTAGGGTTTCTCACTGAAGTGTTTTGCCAAATGAGTGTCCAAATGAGCTTTCTGTGCAGCAGAATAGTCACACTGGTCACACTTGTAGGGTTTTTCTCCTGTATGGGTTCTCATATGTATGGATAAGTGAGACCTGTAAGCCGCCCTGTACCCACACTCCCCACACATGTAGGGTATCTCACCGGCGTTATCCAAGTTGACGTGTGCTGCCGTCTGATCTTCAGCATTGCTTGTTTTGCTGTCACAGTCGACCTGGGAAACCTCGGTGGGAGGCCCATCATACTTCTGACCAACTCCGGTGGGAGACCCGTGTCCTGCAGTTGCCATGTCTAGCCTAATGACAAAATGAAGAAATTATAAAGATACACTGTAAAAGCTGTATACAAATAATCTCCAAGCAGATCTTTTGGTGGGGGTAAGACAGTATCAAATTGGCCAGTCTGTACTTGGGTGGGGAAATGGATACAGACTGGCCAATTTGATACTGTCTTACCCCCACCAAAAGATCTGCTTGGAGATTAACTCAGGCTAATGTATCGCCCCCTCCCCTTCATTTTCACCCCTTTTTACATCCCGAAAATGTCTACAAATTATCCTCCTACTGCGATGCTTCTTCCACATGAATGACCCCAGGATATTGTACTCAACATCGAAATACTTTTCTGCCCGTTTCTAAGCCTAACCTGCTTCCTATGATGGTTTTTCTCTTCACGTAAACAAAGACTCTGGAATTCCGTCGTCTCGTGAGGTCAGAGGTGAACACTATGTGGGTCAATGGAATTGTCTGCCTGATTACCCATGTAGTACGTTTGACGTCAGGTAGCACGTTACGCTTTCTCACGATGTAAACGTTTTGCACAACAAAACAACATAAAACGCGACCTTTTTTCTGATTGAATATGATATGACAGTAGTAATTAAAGAAAAACAATCAAACAGAACTGTTCTGTCTGGATTTCTGTGTTTCGATTATAAGTACCTCCCTCAGTCCATGGATGGTTTGTTCCATTAGGTCAGAGGTCAAAATTGGTGTTAGTGTCGTCTGCAATATACGTAACATGCATCTATAACTGAAGAAATATCTGTATTTTGGGATTGTTTTTTCTTTTAAAACTTTTTGTGTGCACTTTAAGATGGATCTGACGTTTCTTGGCACCGCGTCCTGCTACCCAATGCCGAATAGAGGCGTCTCCTGTGTCGTTTTTAAGTCAGGTGAGTTGCTTGAAGTGCATGTGTTATGGTGGGGGGAGGGGGGTGGTATTCAAGTTGTGGTAGTAAAAAGGCAGTATGAAAACACGAGAAATTGTAGCCTTAACAATGCGGGTTTTTTTCCCATTCTACAGACAGTTCTTGAAGACATTGACGAAAATCCCGGTTATAAAGAATAGATAGAGGCTAGACCATGCGAAGTCAAAAATGCATTGGGACCACATGCATTTTCTTTGCAAATGTTAACATTACCATTCTAGTGTGTGAATGGTTTATTTTCAACACTGTCGCAAACACAGCAGCCAGAATTACTGAATTGTGTGGTGACATGACAATTCGGTAAGCCTAAGAGACATATTTACATGTAAAACACTCGAGGAAAAACAGTCTATACAAAATTTGCCGGTTTATCAGATACTAGAATAGTTTGACAAGTTAAAAAAACCATAACAGCATAGCTATGGGGCATAATTGACAGTTGTGATACAAAGCAAGGGCAAATGAATGTCTCACTGTCGTTCAGAAGTTCAACCATGTATTGTAGGACACTGTTCATGTAACGTCCCGTACAGCCATACATAGGGTACAGTTTATGTGATGAACTTGCTTACTCTGTGTCTTTTATCTTCTAATAAAGAATGATTTTCCTTCCACCCTGACAGACAGAGAATGTTGGATGTTTGACTGTGGGGAGGGGAGTCAGATTCAGGTCATGAAAAGCAGCATCAAAGCAGCCAAAATCAACAAGATCTTCATCACACATCTTCACGGAGACCATGTGAGTTCTACTTCAAGTTTATTTATTTTATCAGGGCATAACTGACAGATCCATTGATCTGATTTTCCGGTATCCCTGGGCACATACATTAAAACATACATTCATAGAAATTACTAGTACAAGTTGAACACAACAATATTAAATAATGTTACAAACATGTACATGTACAAAACAGTCACAGTGTAGGCACATTTAGTGCATTCATTATCCAGGTTCAGTCCTACAAGCCTGCAGTCCTCTACACTAGCCTACAGTGAGTTCTACGTATATACTGGGCTTTTATTTACTTTGTCTATTTTGCCAGGTTGAAACTTATGTGACCTGCTTTTCAGTCAGTCCTGGTTAAGTATTTAAAAATATATAAGTATATAAAATTGTACTCACTCACTCACTCAATCACTCACTCACTCACTCACTCACTCACTCACTCACTCACACACTCACTCACTCACACTCACTCACTCACTCACACTCACACATTCACTCATTCACACACTCACTCACACACACACACTCAATCACACATTCATTCAATCACTCACTCTCACCCACTCAATCATTCATTCACTCACTCATTCACTCACTCACTCACTTTCCCATAAACAAATATATAGATATATATAGAAATGATAGAACAAGACACAGTATGCATGTACAGTAAATTTAAAATGTCTACTTTAAGTATAGGTTTGACTTTGGATTTTGAACTTGCTGTATTATTTGTACCTTTATAGTTAACTTCATGACCAACATTTGAATTTGTTATTCTTTTTTTTTTGTTTACAGCTGTTTGGTTTACAAGGTAAGTTATGTCAAACATTTATAGATAATGATTCTTGCATCTTTATGCAATAGTTGCTCTTTCTTTCGTAACTTCCAGATACATATGTACATATATACAGTTTGGTCTTGAAGTCATTGACTGAACTGCTATTCACAGTTGCTGCTGAGAGTTTATTCCAGACTGGGGTTACTCTTGTTAAAAACAAGTTTGATCTGGGCCTGTCTGACTTCTGAATCTGGAATTCATAGGCATGTCCTCTGGTTGTTTTGGACAGACTTGGCATAAACATTGACCTACTACAGAGGTTACAGTGGTTCTCTGTATGCAAGTTATCAAGTCAGTGGGAGATCTTAAACAACTTTTGATCCATCACAAAAAAGTTCTCTCACCTAGAGCTTTCGACCAGTCACTCTGGTCTTCCTCAGTAGACTGACCCAGTGAAGCTTGTCACGTGGATCGAAAGTTTTAACTTTAAACATGTAACTACTAACACAGATGAACTTTCATGATAACTTTATGCATGTATATACTCTTTCTTCAGGATTCTTGTGCACCCTGAGTCTAAATCTAGCAGAGCAGACATCTCAAAAAACATCTCAGCAGACATGTCAGCAGACATGTCAAGAGACATCTCAGAATCCGTCGGTAACGATGTCTCAGTAGAAAATTCAATGTCTTAATGTGCCTAATGTGCCCTGCTGACCACATGTTGACAGTTGACTAATGGAAGGTTGTACAGTTAAGGATCTTACTTGTCGAAAGGACCCTGGTACTCTATTTGTTACCAAATATATGTCTATGTCAGAGCTTATTGTATCATATAACTGCACACGCCTTTTCGTAGTTCGGTGCTTTTGGGGGAGACACCCAGTAATCTTCCTCATATAAATATTGTTTTTATCTGTATTGCAATTTTAATGATCTTAGATGTTTTAAGCGAACCAATATTGTCTGCCAATTTGTACACGAGTCTGTCAATTCAGCCTGTTGGCTGCCATTGGACTTGTCTTTGATTTTAATAATGAACCAGTCTACTACATCTCAGAAGACGTCTGAGAAGGCGTCTCAGACTCCATCTGTGGAGATCTACGGACCGCTGGGCCTGAGGAGGTACTTAAGAACCTGCCTGGAACTCTCAAGGTCGCCCATCAGCTTCTCCTACGTCGTGCACGAACTTGAACCTGTGGAGGACCAGCTACCTCAAGACTGGGAGGTAATGTTTCATGCACCTTAGAAACCTATACCTATTCCACCAAACACCTCAAAGAATTAGTCTCTACCAGACTAACTACGCTGGCTGTATATAGGAGAATATTTGCCGGGGGAGTTTGGCCGCCTTGTAGGTTTGACTGGCCGCGCAGTTCGGAGGGAAAGAAACTACCTCCCCACAGCCGGACTCCCTCGGCCAATTTTACTCTCTCTTTTGGCCAAATTGTACGATCGGAGGCTATCAAAGAATCACCGTTTCCTTAAATCTGACAGGTGAAGGTATTGTTTCTGAGACCTCCAGCCCCCCGAGTCTCAGAAGCACTCAGTTTCCTACCGATGCGTTCAATCCTACCATCATCTTCTGCCAGTAAAATGTACCCATCTCTGTATTTGCCACTGCACTCTGGGCCATGCTAAACTTCATTGTCATTGTATCAGATTCTATGTGTTGGAATATATGTATTATAAGATAATTATATTGTGAGTGAACTTCATTTTCTACATGGATGAAGTTAATAGAAAATGGAGATACAAAAATAAGACAAAGTCAAGAAACTTGAACCTGTGGAGGACCAGCTACCTCAAGACTGGGAGGTATGCAGTGTGCAGGGTGCTTTACACAAGTCGAATCAGTTCCTGTATTCTTTTTTTTTTTTTTTTTGTAAAACCATAACGTGATTTTCCATTTAGTGATATACATAGCAGGGCTTGAAATTCAATTTGGGGAAGAGGTGCACTGGTGCACCCCAAAAAATTTTTGGGGTGCACCAAATAAAATAAAACCAAATTACAAATCTTACTGCTCATCTTAGTTTGAATCTGAAATGGGAGCTAACTTCGAAATCTTGAACAAGTACTACAACAAAGATTATCATTTTCTGACACTACGATGCCAGGAATAACCTGCATCATTATACTATACAATTATACATTTAATATGTACAAAAATATTTGCATGGGTGTACTGGTGCACCCACAGAAACAAATTGGGTGTTTAAATGACATAGTACTATTTCCTTGCTTCTTCAGGAGTGGCACCCAGAACATACCAGCTCTGGACCAGTCCATCCAGGAGAAGGGGAGGGCAGGAACATCCGGAGGGACGAAACAGGAGCCTGGCATTTGTAAGTTCTTGCCAGCATTGTTGTCAAGTTTCAAGTTTATTGATTGAAACATTTTGCAGCCCGTAGGCTGAATTGCATGTTTCATTACATTCCTTGCCCACCATAACAACTTTGAAAAAATCATTCTGGTTAATTTGTGAATAAAGTTGAAATGCAACTTCTACATACATACATAAATACATGATAAAAACACATTATACATTAATTATTTACATCTATAAATCGTTAAGGAGTTTCACAATGTAGGGTAAGGGGCTCTTGAAGTAACGCCTCGTACGTGCTACAATACTGTCAAATTTGTTTTTTTGCCCTGTTGCCCTCCCTGTTACTTCGCCTCTTGTCTGAGGGAGCCAGTGGTGATAGAGAGTTGATTTGCACAGTTTTTTTTCCAAACTCTCGGCACAGGTTTTCACGTCTGTCAACATGTAGGGTGTGTATTTTTAAACCTCTATCTTAACTATCTATCCAGAATATATCTCAGATCTACAGATCTGTTTTTCAGACATCCCTGGGCACATACATTTAACAAGACTGGCAATGAAAACATACATTGCCATGGCACTGCCATCATTTCATGATTTTGACTTGGGACAGTACCTGTTTTTAAGTCTAGACAGATAAAGTGCACTCCTCCCCTGAGTGTATAGTGAACGAGGCCCGAAGTCACAGAAAGTAAGGCCATCCAGGGAAGACAGGTCTTCCCAAGGGTTTTCAGGAATGTGGGCATAGATGTGGGTCAGAGACATGCCTGTGGACATTCCATGCCTGTGGACAAAATGCCTGTACCATTCCTAGAATTCTTGCAAACTGCACACAATACTGTACCATTAGGCTCCTCCCTGAGACGTTGCCAAAAATGCAGCTGTGGAAACAAAACAAAACAAACACAATTATATACAAATATTGGCCATTCAAGGCTATGTAAATGCCTTGGCACTTTTTTCCTGCAGATTTGAAGACAGTAGGTTTGTAGTGAAAGCTGGAGCGATCTACCACAGAATCCCCTGCTTCGGTTACATCATACAGAAGAAGACTCTACCAGGCAAGTAAGTCTGCTTTTTGTTCACTTCATTCAACTTTTCAGTTAAACAAATACATAATTTGTTGTACCATGTAATTGTTCTTTATTCAACAACCAATGGGACAGACGACAATACGGAGCCGGGCACCCAGGCTACTGAAGCTCCACAACTCAAGAACTCAGTACATACCTACAGTGCTGATTCATAAGTTCCACAAAAAGCCGGCTTGTACGTTGCTACATACTGCTGCAATTCACAATACCAGCTTTGTATTCCTGTGGTTTAGTAGCATTTTAATTTTTTTGTCCTGAATTTTTTTTATTTGCCCATGGGCACTAGTGTGGGGGTCTTCAGAGGATGTCATCCATTAGATTAAGTCAGTGTGGCCTCACTGAAACATCACATGCACTGTTTGTTGAATAAAGAACCTTGTTATACAGTCTATGATGTGTTGTGTGATGTTGCTTCCCTGTTGCAGACTGGATGCAGCAAAGCTGAAGGAGTTAGGAGTCCCTCCCGGTCCTCTCTACTCCAGAATCAAACAGGGCGAGACAGTCACACTGGAAAACGGCCAGGTCGTATCCTATAGCGGTGCACACACCAATTCTTCCGCGACGGGGGTCCGTGGTATATAGTGCCCCGTAAAAAAGTGACAAAGGGGTTCCGGTGGTTCATGTTTGAATTTACATTTCTCAAAAATTTTTTTGGCAGAAATTTGAAAGTTATCGTACTTTATTTTCTTGCGGATTGTTTCCTTAGCTTTTTACTTTCAAGATTGACCCCAAGGATGTGGTAGGGCCAAGTCGACCGGGAAGAAAAGTTGGTAAGTGTTGATCTTCTTATTCTTTTTCAGTTTCGATGATTTTCCATGGCTGCAATTGACTAATATTATTTCCTATCTAACTGTGAGCCCCTTCCCTACCTACAGTTATCCTTGGTGACACCCATGACCCCTCACCTCTGACCTCCCTGGCCCAGGGGGCAGATGTCGTGGTGCACGAGGCGACCCTGGAGAACAGCCTGAGGTCAAAGGCCATAGAGGTCGGACATTCCACTCCTGGTAGGGGAAACTTTTAATTTTTAATTTTGTTGTTGTGCAGGTGCAATCCCGATCTTTGTCTCTAGAGGGAGCTGCTGTACAGTAAACAATACTTCTTGGAACCAATTTTTTGTGGCTAGATGATTACATGACACGTTGTAAGCAGATATGTATTACTAGTAACTGTTCATTCCCCTCAAATTAGCCTCCTTTCATGCAAATTTTGTTCGTTTTTTTAAAGATCTCCAAAGGTGATTTCTGCAGTACTTCAGAATAAAGTAATGCAAAGTACATTGTATAACAACAGATATATATACAAAGATATGGTATACAATTGAACTTTTACACTATTAAAACCTGTGGAAATTTGAAATCATCTGAGGTAAGTGTAAGGCTGTCATTGGGGTTTACGGTGTTCACATGTTTTCCAGAAATGGCTGCTACATTTGGGAAGACCATAGGAGCCAAAACCCTCATCCTAACCCACTTTAGTCAACGCTACAGACCACTGGGGGCAATACTGGAGGTATGTCATTCGTTTGGTTGTTCGTTCGTTTGTTCGTTCCTTCATTCGTTCCTTCCTTCCTTCATTCACTTACCCATTCATCCATTCATTAATCTAACCGTGCATTCCTTTTTTCATTCATTTATTTATGCATTTATTCATTGGCTCCAAATTTCCTGTCTACTCTGCAATTATAGCGCGCCTGGGAGTCAGAACGCATGCAAAATAAAACATGTAACTGTTACATACTTTCCAAAAAACAGGTTGGAACAGTTCATCCTCACTTTGGGACAATTGAAAAATATTTTTGGGACAGTGATGGAACAATAGGAAGAAAAGTTAATTTCAGGGCCTGTTTTTTGTGTCATCCTAATGTTATGTAAAGCAGCTTTAAACCCCAGCCTAAAACCTTCCTCACAAAAACCAATCAATACCCAAGTACAAAGTAGAACAACAAGTCACACCAGACAGCCATCACATGACTATATAAATAGCCTGTTACTAACTAACAGTGTTGACCTATGAGTCATCGCACATACACAGAGGTAAGGTTGAATCATTTAAACAAATGCATCTGCTGTTCCAGAAAAGGCTGCTAGGAGGCCCAAACTCACATCAATATTCTTGCCCAGCATAACAAATCTGCTATCCAAAATTTGTGACCCTGGCATGTCCAGATTATGAGTTATCAAAACCAGATATTATGATGCAGTTCTATAACAAGCCATTAGGGGCAAAAACAATCACCAAAGGGTGGCTATACCGGCTATACAGATACAGAAGCTGGTGTGTTGCGCCGAAGGGTGGTTATACCGGCTATACAGATACAGAAGCTGGTGTGTTATGCCGAAGGGCGGATATACCGGCTATACAGATACAGAAGCTGGTGTGTTATGCTGAAGGGCGGTTATACCGACTATACAGATACAGAAGCTAGTGTGTTATGCCGAAGGGCAGTTATACCGGCTATACAGATACAGAAGCTGGTGTGTTACGCCAAAGGGTGGTAATACCGGCTATACAGATACAGAAGCTGGTGTGTTACACCGAATTAAGGGCGGTTATACCGGCTATACAGATACAGAAGCTAGTGTGTTATGCCGAAGGGCAGTTATACCGGCTATACAGATACAGAAGCTGGTGTGTTACGCCGAAGGGCGGTTATACCGGCTATACAGATACAGAAGCTGGTGTGTTACGCCGAAGGGCGGTTATACCAGCTATACAGATACAGAATCTGATACAGTCAAACTTGTATCCAACTACCAAGTTTCATGACTATCCATCCATACCTTCTTGAGTTATCGTGCTAAACCACAAACACACGATGTTCATGACTATAAATAAAAATCCTGTCATTAGCGTAACATGTATTTTGTGTAAGTTGTCTATGTTGTATATGGGCTTTGCCTGAGTCAAACAATAAATAAAATAAATAAATAAATAAATTAGCAAACAGGTTTGACCTATGAGTCACGGAAGAGGGTTAAATGTCCTAGAGATCTAGACATTTTGTACATCATGCATTTGTACATCTGAACGTTTTTCATATGACTAATAAACTGGTGGAAGTACCAACTACTAAGTACCTAATACCAGTACAGAAAAGAACATGAAATAGCCATGCCTCCAAGTACCAGAGTTATCAACCAAGGATTGAGGTGTTCAAAATTTCATTCTTTCCTAGAACTATCATATGGCAGAGTGGAACTCACTGTCATCAAGTACAGTAGGGGTATTATCATTAGATAGCTTTGAACAGTGTCTAGAGTTAGAAGTTCAAAGGTTAATCATTTGGTGTAATGTAGCCAGCTGCCGCTGTGCCGCGGGCCTGCGAAGCTGGTGTGTTACGCCGAAAGGCGGTTATACCAGCTATACAGATACATGCAGAAGCTGATGTGTTACACCAAAGGGCGGTTATATACCGGCTACACAGATACAGAAGCTGATCTGTTACACCGATGGGCGATTATACTGGCTATACAGATTTTTGAAATCACTTGTTTCCTCTGTCTTCCAGTGACATCCACTGTAGGTTTTCTTTTATTTCCATTACACTTACTTACGTACTTAGTTTCTACCGTGACACTAGTACAACTAGTGATAACTAGACTCCTTTTCTAGCTGTAGAAAGGAAAACCTAGCCTGGGTACCATCTGGATTTTCGCTACCTAACGCTCGAAAAAATCATTTTTTCGAGCGTTGCGTAGCAAAAATCCAGATGGTAACCAGGCTAAGGAAAACCTTGATCTGTTTTTTCCCTGTTCAGAAAGGAGAGGAGTCGGTGAGTAAACTACAGGAGGAGGCAGCCGCAGTGTTTGGGGCAGATGGAGTCATCACTGCACAGGATCTACAGACTGTACACATTCCACAGCCTACTTCTTAATTAACCCTTGTCCTCCGAAGCACATGTAAGAAACAGAGGCCAGCAGTAGAAACAGAAAG